TGCTGGTCGCAGAAGAACTCGAAGAGCTTGTTGTGCTGCGGGCACTTGCGCTGCTTCAGGTCGCGCAGGGGCGGGCAGAGCTGGTGGTCGCGGAAGGCAGGGCTGTCCCGGTGCGGCCGCAGGTGCTCGGAGCAGAAGGAGGCGGTGCAGGTCAGGCAGGTCTGCACGGCCGGCGCCTGCAGGCAGCTGTCGCAGCAGATTTGGGCTGCCTGCGCCCCGCGCCCCGCCGCTTCATCCTCCTCCTCCTCTTCCTCCGCCGCCCCAAGCCCGGCGCGGCCCCGGAGCTGCTCCACCACCCGGCAGAGCACCGTGTTCTTCTGCAGCTTCGGGCGACCCGCGAAGGTGGCCCGGCACTGCGGGCAGCTGAAGTTGGCCGACAGCCCGGCCCAGCAGAGCTCCAGGCAGGAGGAGCAGAAGTTGTGCCCGCAGGGAACCGTCACGGGGCTGCTGAAGAGGCAGAGGCAGATGGAGCAGGTCAGTTCCTCCTCCAGGGCCAGAAGGCCCGGCTCCGACGGCGACGGGGCCAGCCCCGCCATCCCTCCCCGGGCTGCCGCTGTCCCGAAGCTCCAGAAACGAAACTGGGGCCGCGGCTTTCCGGGAATCTACGCGCCCCGTCCCCGCCCCCGCGGGCGGGGCGGCAGCTCCGCAAACCCCACCGCCCCCGGGGCCGACCCGACCCGGCCTCGCTCCCGCCTCTGCCCGCCGGGACCGCGACCGGGACCGGGACCGGGACCGCGACCGGGACCGGCCGCCTTCTTCCTCCCCCCCGCCGGCACCCCGGGGCCGCCTTCCCCCGGGGAGGCGGGGTGAGCTCAGCCGGCTGCTTCCCTCCGCGCTGCCGTTAACCTGGCTGGGGGAGATCCCATCAGCTGTTGTGGATCCCGGGGTTTATAAAGCATGACGGTCACGGCGCTGTGAATGCGGAAATCGTCTCAACAGATGACGCTTCCTCAAATTGTCTTCTTTTTTCCTCGGTCTAACTGTTGAATAATTGCTGTTTCTAGCAGAAACGGTGGATGCTGAATAGCAGCGTGCGCAACTGTTCCTCTTTAACCTGACTCCAGATTCTTCCAGTGGCCTCCTCCTGCCTCCTCCTCTGCCCTCTCTGCTGGTGTCTGTCCCAGGGACTTCCTCGGTGCCCTCTGTACTTCTCCGCTGGCACTGACAGCATGGGTGAAACGGAGCAGCCCGGCACAAATCTGTGACACCCCCCCCCCCAAGAATTTAAACAGAGCCTGGTGGTCTGCAGCAGCAGCAGCTGTCTGCTCTCAACTGCCTTTCCAGTGGCCAAAGGACATGTAGTGTGGGCAACTGCTGATGGTCTTTTTAACATCGTTTAAAAAGTATTGGCAAGCAATTGTGGGGTTTCTGTGTCACCATTAGTCCTCAGAGACTTCCAAAAACGTTCAGGAATCGTATAAAGCACTCGAAAGAGGCAATAGTGGTTTGTCTGTTATAATTAGTGCTTTGAAAGAAATTCCTAGCCAGTTATTTTGGAAGACTAAATTAAATCCAAACGGTCGTTGTAAATCTACATTACACAGATAATATTGACTTCTACCTGCATCAATAATCTGCTCCAGTCTCATAATACTCCTTCAGGACGAACTACAGAGGGGTCATGTCACATGGGCTCTGATTCTCTGCTTAGTAAAATGGTGCAGAAAGGACAACAGGAGGCGTTCAGAGCTGCCGTGGCTTTGACGGAGGGGAGCGAAAGTTCAGGGATCAAGTGTGTAATCTGCTTGAGGGTGGAAGAGTTTCTAGGAGATGGGCATGGCTCTGCTTATTTACAGCGCTGTTGGGATATGCAGATCAGGACTTCATAACCGCTGTCAGAGGGGATGCAAACACCTGAGCGTACCTGAGAGGTGGTGGTTGACAGTGACTGCAAAGGAACAACCTTACAGAGCTGTGCTCTGTGTGTCATGGTTTAACCCCAGCCAGCAACTAAGCACCACGCGGCCGCTCACTCACTTCCCCCTCCCCCCCACCAGTGGGATGGGGGAGAAAATTGGGAAAAGAAGTAAAACTCGTGGGTTGAGATAAGAACGGTTTAATAGAACAGAAAAGAAGAAACTAATGATAACACTAATAAAATGACAGCAGTAATAATAAAAGGATTGGAATACACAAATGATGCACAGTGCAATTGCTCACCACCCACCGATCGACACCCAGTGAGTCCCCAAGCGGCCACCCCTCACCCCAGTTTATATACTGGGCATGACGTCACATGGTCTGGAATATCCCTTGGGTCAGTTGGGGTCAGCTGTCCTGGCTGTGTCCCCTCCCAACTGCTTGTGCCCCTCCAGCCTTCTTGCTGGCTGGGCACGAGAAGCTGAAAAATCCTTGACTTTAGACTAAACATTACTTAGCAACAACTGAAAACATCAGTGTGTTATCAACATTCTTCTCATACCTAGCTCAAAAACATGGCACTGTACCAGCTACTAGGAAGACAATTAACTCTATCCTGGCTGAAACCAGGACAGTGTGTTACCAGAGACGGGAACAAAGAGCAGCCGTTAATGTTTGTTTCTTATTTTTCTATAGGTGAACGAAGCACTTTTCCCTAGACTTATCTGAACTAACCACCATCATCTTTCAAAGGCTCAGCAGCTTCACTGCATTTTCTGCAGCACTCATCTGGTGTCTACTGATGCAGACAAAGGTACGCAAATAGAAAGGGGAAATATATACTCTCACAATTGTAGCTTTTGCTTCTGGAGCAGAACACAGGATGCTCAGAGTTCAGATGAGCAATTTAAGGTCTCCATTGTCAAAGAGGGCTTGAAATTCTGTTGTCTAAAAAATAAAGTTTAACGTTAAAAATTACTGAAGAATTTTACCATTTAAATAGCTACTGAAGTTACTACCCTCTTTGCTTCCTTGCAGTTACTTGAGAATTCCTTCATGTGATTCCGAACTAAATCTAACCCTTTGCCCAGATATCACAGATTCAAAGCGCCACTCAGAGTCTGAGCAGGAAGTTAGAAGCACAGCAGAATAAATTGTTCCTCATGTAGGTGTGGCTTAAGCAAACATCAAGACGGGTGTTCCGATACTCTTTGACTTTTTTGGATTTAATATTCAAAGTGGTTTAAGTAGGTATGATTTTCCCCTCAAAATTATAAATAACCCCAGATTCCTAAAGAGCTGACACTGACTCCATGTATTTTTGCAAGGTCTGTAGTCACAGCAACAAACTTTCAGGTCTTTAGTATCTGTTCAGCAGCTTCTGGCTGCCAGCCTCTCGCTGCAGGTGCTCGTGTCTGTAGGCTATAGCGTTGTTGTGCCTGTGTTTGACTAGCTTGCTAGCTCAAACATATCCTCACATTTTGAGTCATGAGACTACAATTTGCCAAAAAACTTCAACAGAATTTTTAAACAAACCCATAATGCTAAATTGCATAGACGAGGGTGGCAAGGAGCCCCCATAACTGACAGCTGGGGCTGCCTCAGCAAAGGGGCTTGCAAGAGACCCCAAGACTCTAGGGACAGAAAGCAAGCAATAAGGGTTTGTTCAGAGCATCACCAGCTCCCTCCGGGATTCACGTGGACATTCTGTCCTGTTCCGCGTTTCTCGCCCATTTATTGCCCCAGCCCTGCCCCGGCTCCCCAGGTATGAGGAACCTGGCGCGTGGCTCTGTCAAGAGAAGGCATGTGGGTGTGACAGGGAGGGCAGGCAGCTCTGTCAGACTGCAGTTCCTCGATTTAAATTGTGCATCGAGACAGTAGTAGTTTCACCCAAAGTTGGTAACAATGTATAAATAAAACTCAAGATTTTATCTACAAAACATCCTCTCTCTAGGGTGTAGTTGTTTTCAACCATCATCCCTTCACCACAGTCAGAGGGACTCTGCATCTATTTAATTTGTAGCCAGTAGGCATTGTCGGCAATGGAACAAGAGGTGAATCCTGCTCTAAAATGCTGTGAAATACTTGCATTTAGCTCTTGCAATTTCATAATTCAAAATTTATTTCCTTTAGAAAAAAAATCTTTCTATTAATTGCAACTGTCTCAGCATGACTGTGCTAGAGAGTCTGGAATTTTCTTTTTGTCCAGTTTGCAAGAATATCCACACATGACTAACTGTCCATTTCTCTAAAAAACAAATTCTAACATAAAATAATGGCAACTAAAGAGAACTGCAATACACAAATTAGTCTTACTCCTATTAAAATGATTCCTTCACAAAGACATTTTAATAGCAATAATGCAAAGGTGTGCAATATTTTAATGTAATCATGCACTAATCAGACTACATGTTAGCTAAACCACAATGTACAGTTTTCTAGGGCTTTTTTTCACATCTTCTGTTTAAGAATCAACTACCCAGGACAGACAGGGATTATCTTAAATTGTAAGATTTGCCAAGATGCAAGTACTACGTGGGTACAAGGTGTTACCTCAGTGCTAATCATTAGCAGAGATGTCAGTGAAGTGCATTGCCACAGGTTTTCAGAGCCTACGCAGATTAACGCACTGGGACACAATTTTGCCAGGGATTCATGTTCTATTCCACTAGTTCTAGGCAAAGTTGACAGTTACCACTACTATTTATCTGCCCCTCAAAATTACAGGAGCTTGAAATCCACAAGTTTTTCTTGGCATGTTCAGGTGAACGCTGTAAATAATTGCAAGGTCATGGTATTTGTATCATGCTCTGCAGCTGTAGAGGAAGAGATGTGCACATCAATAATATTTATATTTCATTTTTAAATGTTGTTTTTAATTATCCTTACAGCAAGCTACCTCTGTATGGCAGTTATACGGCTCTGGCCAAACCCAGACATTCAAATGGAGTTACTGACAGTAACAAGGTTGTATTTTACCTTTTTGATCAAACCGTTTCAGTGCTGCAGCTTGCAGCAGTAGGATATAAAAATTGTTATTAAGCTTCTATTAAGAAAAAAAAAACCCAACAGATCTATATTAAAGACTGACATAAAAACATATCCTAAGAAAAAAGTGTTTTTCTTTTGGCATAGTTTCTTTTTAAAACCATTTATTAAAAATATCCACCAGTGCATCTGCTGCCCTCAGAACTAGAAGGCAGCATTTCACAAAACAAGTCCGTACAATTATTTACATTTGTTCACATCTTAGATTGTTCCGTTTTCAATGCTGGATCCGTTAACTGAAGGCTCAACAATCAGTCTTGGCTCTATCAGTGCATCCCAACTTTCAGTTATCTGAAAACAAAATACAGACAATACTTAGCATGTACAAGCTACACAGGCAGATGCAATTTCTCCTACATTATGCTTTGTCTAGACTTGAACAGCAGCAGTACTGAACAAAGATCACAGATCCTTCCTCTGATTCATCAATCCTCTTGATGAACCTCAACCTGCCTGACATCCTGGGTAAGGAAAGACGCAGGTAAGAAAAACAGTGCATGAAATGAACAAACTTGTAAGAACAGATACTCTACCTAGACATTATAGTGCTTATTCTATTAGCCAAACCAGAAAGTTAGTTTGATGACTGTTTTTGAACCTAGTTAATTAAATCACACAAGAAGTCATTCTTATCTTGTAATCATGCACATTCTTGCTAGAAAGGAACAATTATTTTTCCTTCCATTTATTTTAATCAGATGCATTATTATAAAGGTAATCTCACCAAGATGAACGGAGTCATAAAGCAGGGCATGCATCAGCTATGCAAAACTTTTAACAGGCTTCAAAACAGGACACCCACATACCTTTGTATCCTGAGGAACAGCGTACTCTATCAGTTCTGCTCCATCTGCAGACTGGTAAACCAGATCGAATTTCCCTGGCTCCTTAGCAACTTAAAAAACAAACAACTCCATTAACTATAAACAAAAAAGTCTAAATGTTTACCATACCTAGAAAGCTAATCAAAACCAGGTGTTTTGTTGGTTGGTTTTGCGGTTTTCTGAGTTGGGTGTTTGAGTTTATAACTGTAACAAAAAAATCTGAAGTAGACCTGAATACAACACACCAAAATTAAGGTAATTTTCATGCATATTGTCATATTGGATAAAGTTAATCAACAATATGCTGTCTAAATTTGAGAAAAATGCTCATATGATGATGATTCATTAATCCTGGCTTAAATGGCAACTGCAGTTTTAGTTTCAAAAACATTCATAGTTCTAGGTCTCTGAAGTGTACCTTGTCACTGCAGGGACTCAGTTCCACACCCACTGCAGACAGTGGCTTCACTGACGTCGCAAAGAGCGGCATTATGACCTAAAATTTTCTCTGTAATTCCACATAATGATTTTAATTCTTTCAGGAAATGAAACCACAGTAGAGAGGAGTTACTGACTGCTCATACTGACAGGACAAATTTCATTTTGTAAATACCCATGAGCATCTTCAATACAACTAGAAACTGTTAAAACTCCATTTAAATAGACTTTTTGGCAAGGGAGCGAGGAGGGGAAGGGTGTGTTGAGAAAGAACCCCAGGAAACCGGAAATACTCCTGAACCATGCAGTGTGCCTTGGACTAGCTGTTTTCCAAGTGACACACGTGACAACAAGCATTTAGTGTCCCAGGGTACGTACGTTGTCCTGCTGATGACGAAAGGATCTCAAGCTCGATCTGTTTTTTATCAGCATTCCAACTGATTATTTTCCCCTCCTTCATAAAGGAACAAGAAAAGAATCAGATAAGATATACTTCAGCACTGGATAAGTATACTGTATTTACAATCACTGTGGTACTTGATCACAGTTAGAGGAAGTATATCTGTCTGTCAATTTTTTCTATCTCTATGTATAAAATCTGCAAAGTATTAAAGCTCAGCAATCTGCAGTTACTGGCATCAATAAACCAAAGATATTAATTGTCACCGTCCTTGTAATTTAAATCAGTACTTATCCAGAAACCAAGTTATTTGAAGTAGCTACAAAATTTTATTTGCATGTTTCAAGAACTTGCCTTGACTTCAAACAACAGTAGACTTGAATGCAGCTAAATTTTTCTACTTGAAGGTCTGCATTTTTTGTCATCTCTAAAATATTAATGATCATTAATAATGCTTGCAGGTTTTTTTAAATAACTGCTACACCTTTCAAATTTTCAATTAGTTTTGGGTTCTAGAGTTTTCATTCTTACTCCTGCATCAGGAATAGCCTGCGGAGTCAACTGGACGAGAAGAAAAATACTGCACAACCTCAAAATATTTAAGCCTTACCTCATCTACAATAGTTTTGTGAGTGAATTAAGGGAGGAAAGAAAAACAGTACCTTATAGTCTGAAACTTCAGGAGTGTAATTTTCAGTTAATTCCAAGCGCTGTTGGAAGAAATACAAATAACAAATTACAACTTTTCCTGACCCCTGATGATGTCACCTATACCCAGACATGGTTTCTTCAGCAAGCGGAGAGTGCAAGAACCAAGTCTCCCACTCCTGGATCATGATGCCAATCACAGTCCCAGGTAGTCTTCCCGGACTCGCTGCTCCAAAGGACTTCTGTTCAGGTCAGGCTGTGAGAGGCAATTAGGGAAATGGATCCGTGTCTCCTCAACCGCAGTGATTTAACTTTCATTTACTTTTTTATTTTGCAGTGAAGTGTAATTATTTGTATGGTAAGATTTGCAATAATATTGTAGAAATGCTGTAGAGAGAAATAACAACGTAAGAGATTTTTTTTTCTTTTTATAGCATCTAATTTTAATGCTGACTTGCCTTGCATGTTGGAAAGAGAGGGGTAACATGCTTCTTTCTGGCATTCTTATTTAAATGTAAATCTTGAAAATATGCCCATGGTAGAGAGAGAGACTTTGTGAAGGTGCAACCAGAAAATTCTATTATTTGTGAACTAACTTGTACAGTAGCTAAGAGTCTCATTGTACAAACGTACATGGAAATTCACACTGAAATAACACTGGAGACATTTCTTTGTGTTATACAAATATAGGAAGTTGTCCTGGTTTCATCTGGGATAAAGTTAATTTGTCTTCATAGTAGCTGGTACAGTGCTATGTTTGGTGTGAGAAGAATGTTGATAACACACTGATGTTTTCAGTTGTTGCTAAGTAATGTTTAGTCTAAAGTCAAGGATTTTTCAGCTTCTCGTGCCCAGCCAGCAAGAAGGCTGGAGGGGCACAAGCAGTTGGGAGGGGACACAGCCAGGACAGCTCACCCCAACTGGCCAAAGGGCTATTCCATACCATGCCATGTCATGTCTAGTATATAAACTGAGGGGAGTGGGGCTGGGAGGGATCGCTGCTCAGGAACTAACTGGCCGTTGGTCAGTGGGTTGTAAACAATTGCATTGTGCATCACTTGTATATTCCAATCCTTTTATTATTATTGTTGTTATCATTATTAGTTTCTTCTTTTCTGTTCTATTAAACTGTTCTTATCTCAACCCAGGAGTTTTACTTTTTTTTTTTTTTTTTCCTGATTCTCTCCCCTATCCAGCTGAGGGGGGTAGTGAGCAAGCAGCTGCGTGGTACTTAGTTGCTGGCTGGGGTTAAACCATGACAGAGGTCTAAAGAAATGCATTTAACTTATGCACATGGTCCAAACCGTTATAAACATCAAAGTCAGACTTCACAACAGAAGAATTTTTTAGAGCCAACAATAGAAACCATAAGTTTCTGTTGTATGGGAAACTATTAGGTTAGAAAGACAGCAAGAAAGGAGTGAATGCTTTCAGAGATGCCTACAAACCTTAGACACAAGACGTGTGCTGAACCATTTGCTTAAGTTTAAAACAAAATTTTTCAAAAAGAACAAATAAGTAGGATGAAGACTACTTCCTAACTCTTATACTTCTAGGATAACGGTCCCAGAACAATGTAAAATAAGTTCTGCAGCGTAAGCTTTTTATTGTCAGGACTACGCTATCTGTAGCGTGTCTTGCAAAGCTTACAGTGGCCCGAATGAAACAATTTTAGCCCACTAACATTCAGTATTTCACAAGTTCTTTACCTTAAAGGCAATTCTTTCTCCGACTTGTGGTGGAGCAGCTAGAAGAGGTAACACACTATAGTCTCTCTTGGGGACCTCCACAGGATTCTGTGAAACAAACAGTAAACCTATTGATTTAATTACCGTATTAATAAAAACAGAAGACAATGTGTATGCTGTACAGAGTGTAAGAAGTTCTGAGAAGAGTAAGGTATGTATCCAAGCACTTTGTTTTGAGATATATTATACAATCACTTAAATATTGTTTCATAAACACTTCCTCAGGCTGTTAAAGAGAAATACAGTAAGTATCAGATTTACTAAGTTAAGATCTACACCTTTATCCTACTAATCTATTTCCGCGTTTACGAATTACTCTCATCCTATACATTTTTTGTATAGTTAAAGCTGCAAGAGAAAGGCGACCTATGACTGCATAAGTCACTCACCTGGACAAGAGCAGAAGTGTTTGTCGCAGCTTCATTTAACTGCCTCTGTTTCTGGCCTTCACTGCTGTAGTTATAGAAGAAGCCAGGGTTTGCTCCTCTCCCACGGCCTTGGCCCCTCATCATCCCACGAAACCCACGGCCCCTAGGTCCTCTCCAGAAGTTATCCTCTCCTGTTCCACGCCCCCTTCCACGACCTGCGCTGGCAAGTGGTCCTTGAGTACTAGTTGGTAACTGTTTAGTACAGTTTCTTACTATGGAATTACTCAGTCCAGCACTTGCTGTGGGTTTTTTAATAACAAGTGTTTCTGAATCTGAACTATCAGACTCTGAAGAGGAGGTCTTTGCTTTGGGAGCCTTGGTGGTACTGGTTTTCACAGCTGCCGCACTGTTAGGCAGTAACTTTTCCTTTGCAGTACTGTCTTGTGCTGTTGCCACTTTCTCATCCTCCGTACTTGAGTCAGAATCTGAACTAGAAGACTGGGATTTTTTAGCATTTTTACTAATTGCAGTCTTAATGGAATTTTCAGCATTAGACTTTACAGTCACTTTATTAGAAACAACAGTTTTCACATCAGAATTTGCAGCAGCCTGGGATTTGTCTTTGGGAAACGTTGCCACTACAGGTTTATGGGAAGATTTATTCTGCTTTACATTTAATTCACTGCTGTCACTGTCAGATGACGTGCTGGAGGAATCTGAAGATCCCACCCTCTTTTTTCTGGACTGTGTTGTGATTTTTTTGGTGTTATTTTTATAAGAATTTAGAGAAATGCTCTCGTTTGCCTGTTCTAAAGCCATCTTTGCTGCAGGGGCCTTTGTCTGCTTTTCATCCTTCTTTTCTGCCGCCAAATGCTTCTCCCTCTGCATTTTTTTAAGCTTTTTAGACTGGTCAGTAGAGCTCTCTTCCTTACCTTCTGTGAGTCTATTTCTTCCACTAACTTCTTCCTTTCTTTTTCTTTTCTTGTACCTTTTTTGACAGTCACGAATATCTACAGAGGTCTCTTCCCTACAAGAGGAATACTCAGGATTATGTCTATTCTTTTTCTTTTCCCTTTTATGCCTGTCTTCTTCATTTCTAGAGAATTCTTCCTCTTCCTGCTTTTGTCGATGCCTTTTTTTGTCTTCTTTTGGTGTACAAGAGAAGCCATCATCTACCTCTTCATAATCATCTGCGACTACCTCTTCCAATTTCACTCTGTCAAACAAACCAAACAAAAGCCACTGTTGAGCATAATTAACACCTTTCTTTGTTAGCAGCTCAGGTGAGGTTGTCTTTTGGGAGCGGGGATGCTCCACCTGTTGAGAAGGAACCCGAGGAAATTGAAATACACCTGAAAGCAGTCTCCAGAGCACGGGTTGCTATCCTAAACCAAGGCTCACAGCCTGAGCCGTCACCCGAGGGCTCGGGTGCTGCAAGGTCTTTTTGAAAAGGCCCCCTCAGGCGGTGCGGGAGCTCAGGGCAGGTGGCGGGAGCACCAGGGATGGAGGCAGCCCTCTCCTTCCGTACCTGAGGAGACTCCCAACCCCTTGGCTCTCTCCAGCCCCCTTCAGACACCCTGCGGTTTCTCAGGCACCGCGGGTTTGGGGAACGCTGCCCGCTTTCCCCCCCACTCCAAGAGAGCCGTTGGGCTACCGGCAGCCGCGGGAAGGGCCCGAGGGCTCTCCGGTTCCCCGGGGAAGGCACGGCCAGGCCCCGTCCCTGTCCCGCGGCTGGCGGGGGGGGGGGGGGGC